CCCCCCTCTCTCTCATCCCCCCCCCGTTGGCTGGAAAACGAGATCGCCCTCCTGCCGGCTCGCTCAGCGACCCCCTCCCCAGCTGAGCTCATGCACTCCCCGGCCATCCGCTAAGTCAGGTCTCCCCCCACCCACCCCCTGCCTGCCCATCGCTCGCTCAGCGACCCCCTACCCACTTACGCACTCCTTCCTCTCAGACTCCCCTCCCCCTCCCGGCTGGGCTCAGCTACTCACTGGCCGTCCGCAGAGCCAGCTCTCTCCCCTCCCCCCTCCGCCTCCAACCCTCGCCTGTTTGCCCACCGCTCACTCAGCGACCCCTCCTCACCTGCCTCTCCCTCTCCGACTCCCCCCTCCCGGCTGGGATCTACTCACCGGCCATCCGCCAAGCCAGGTCTCCCGCCTGCCCACCGCTCGCTGAGCGACCCCCTACTCACTCGCTCCCTCCCTCTCCGACTCCCCCCCACCCACGCCTCCTCACTCACCGGCCGTCCGCAGAGCTAGCTCTCCCGCCAGCCTGCTCGCTTCCCCGCCCAGCCGGTCCTCCCCCTCCTGCTGCCCGGCGTCGGCGTCTTGGTGCCCGGACGCAGCAGCAGCAGCAGCGGCAGCCGCAGCCGCAGGAGGCTCCGGAGCCGATCCCTCCCCTTCCTCCTGCCACGGCAGCGCTCCGCCCGCCCTTCCTCCCGGCGCCCGGCTCCTCCTCCGGGTCGCTGCCGCTGCTTCTGCTGCTGCTGCTGCTGTTGGTGCCGCCGCCGCCGCCTCCTCCTCCTCCTCCGCTGTTGCTGCTCTCTCGGGCGGGCGGGCGCGCGGGGCCCGGGCCGGGCTGTGGCGGTGCGTCGGGGCCGGGGCGAGCGGGGCCCGCCGGGCGCCTCCGGGGGCGGCGGCGGCTGCTTCTGCCTGGGCGGCGGCGGCGGCGCCGGAGGCGGCATGAAGGGGAAGGAGGAGAAGGAGAAGGAGAAGAAGGAGGGCGGCGCGGGGCTGCCCGGCGGAGGGGAGGCGGGCGGCGGCGGCGGCGGCGGTGGAGGCGGCGGTGGAGTCGGCGGCAGCCCGGAGAAGAGCCGCAGCGCCCAGGAGTACAAGGAGCAGGGCAACCGGCTCTTCGTCGGCCGCAAGTACCCCGAGGCCGCCGCCTGCTACGGACGGGCCATCGTGAGTCTGCGGAGGAGGAGGAGGAGGAGGAGGGCCCGGGGGGGGAAGGGGCGAGGGCGTCTCTGGGCGTGGGCAGAGCGCGGCGGAAGCTCCGGGTGGAAAGAGAGAAGGCCCCTGAGCATGGGCAGAGTGGGGTAGGTCGGGGGTTGGCCGGGGGTGGGGAGGGGAAGGCAGAAGCCTGCAGATAGGCCGGGTTTGTTAGGCTAGGAAGGAGGCTAAGGGGCCTCTGAGCATGGGCAGAGTGGGGTGGGTGGAGTTGCTGGGGTGGGGGTGGAGGAGGAGGAAGAAGCCACAGGCAGGCAGGGTGGGAAGGAGTAGGAAGTGGGGGTTGTGGAGGGGAAGTGGGCCTCTGAGCATAAGCAGAAGGCTCTGGAGATGGAGAGTTTTGGGGTTGTGACACCTGGAGGGAAACAAAGGTTTCCTTCCCCTCCCCCCCCCCCCCCCCCCCCAGAAAAGGGCCCCCCCCCCCCCCCCACCCAGAAAAAAAAAAGACAGCTTGGGTGGAAGCTCTGGATGGGGAGGAAGGAGAGAGTGCCTCTGAGCATGGGCAGAGTGGGGTAGGTGGATTGCAAGAAGATGCCTGCAGACAGGCCCGGTTTGTTAGGGTAGGGAGGAGGCCTCTGAGCATAGGCAGAGGGCACAGAGGTGGAGAGTTTGGGTTGTGTTGCCTGGAGGGAAGCAAAGGTCCCCCCCCCCCCAAAAAAACACCCATCCTTCTACCCAGAAACAAAATGACGGCTTCTGAGCAGGGCCAAAGGGCATCGGGTGCCAGGCATGTTGTGTTGGTGTGTTTGTGCGTGGGAAGGAGCCTCTGAGCACAAGCAGAATGCCCCTCCTCCTCCTCCTCCTCTTCCTCCTCTTGGAGGTCAGCCCCATCGCCGCATTCCTGCTTTCTGTACCTGGAGAGGCTTACAATCGTCCCTTTTAGTGGCCATTCGGAATTTACAACGTCCCTGGGGGGGGGAAAAAGTGACTTGCGGCCGTTTTTCACGCTTAACGGCCGTTGTGGCATCCCCACAGTCAAGCGATCAGAATTCAGAGGCTTCCTCTGAATCGACTCCTCTTGGTGACTCGTGTTTATGACAGCTGCCGTGTCCGCGGGGATCAACCTCCTGACAAAGCAAAGTCAAGGGGAAGCTGGATTTCCTTAACAGCTGGGTTACTAACTTATCGACCACAACAATTCGCTTAACGACGAAGGTAGGAAGGTCACAAAACGGGGCAAAAATCCACTCAACAAACGCCTCGCTTAGGATAGCGGCATAAATTTGGGGCTAGGTCGTGGCCATAAGTCAAGGACTACACTATGCAACGGGTAAGGAGGTTAGTTTCCCTCTCCTGAAGAATGCGGCCCTCTGAGCACGAGCGGAGTGCGGGCCTTCCTAAGCTGGACGGGCAAAGGAAAGGGCTCCAGTTTCCTCCCCTTGGACCGTGAGCCGAGAGGGTTTATAAACATGTACAGAGTGCAGGGCCAACTTTTAGCCCCAGGGGGGAGAAATGAGTTGGCCACCGGGGAGAGGATGTTGTTAATTAATCTTGCTGAAGTCACCTGACCAGGACATTGCAACTAAGGGAAGGCATCTGAGCATGCACAGAGAGCTGGCAGATGTGGACTGGGGAAGGCCTCACCTATCTTGAATCTCCTGGACAAGGACCGATGGGCTGGGAGTGGTTGACGTTGATCAGGGTGAGTGTGGGGTTTGAGTCGGGCAGGGGGCTTGAGAAAGTTGGGGTGGGGGCTACAGCAAGGTTTTTCAAACGGTGAGAACTGGAAGAGGTGGGGACTTCAACTCCCAGAGTTCCCCAGCCAGCTGGCTGGCTGGGGAACTCTGGGAGTTGAAGTCCCCGCCTCTTCCAGTTCCCACCGTTGAGAAAACACCACGTTAGAACATGGGTCTTCGAACTTGATACCTTTAAGACTCGTGGACTTCAACTCCCAGAATTCCTCCTCCAGTCATGTTAGCTCAGGAATGCTGGGAGTTGAAGTCCACGAGTCTTAAAGGTGCCTAGTTTGAAGATCCTTGCATTAGAGTGACCACAAGAATGTGTGAATGGGATCCTGGGCTCTGGGGACAGAAAGAATGGGGGTTTGAGCTGAGCAAAGAACTGGAAGGAAGGAACTGCTCCGATCAGGTGCTTATACCCTATTCCCCCCCCCTTTTTTTTTAAATGTGCACCTGGAGAGGTGTGCAAACACAATTGTATGGCCGAGCTTGGATGACGTGTAGAGCCAGGCCTGTTACACACACCTGATCCGCTGTCGGTGAAGAGACAGCTGATGCTCACCTTGGTGACTTCAGGTGTGATAGGTATAAACAGTCTGGGAGTTAAAGGTTCCCAAAATGGGTTACTAAAGGAATACAGGTAGTCCTTGATTCACGACAACAATTTTTCATAGCTAAGCCAGGGGGTTAAGTGAATTTGGCCTCTTTTTGCAAGCTTTTTTCCCCACGGTGGTGAAGCCAGCTGGGAAGCTTGCAAATGTAACAGATTAATTTAAACGCGGCAAACAAGCAAAGCAATGCCAAACCTAATAAATATTAAATGGTGATTACGTGACTCCGGGATTGCGCAACCCTCGTAAACACCTACCAGTTTCAAGCCTCCAAATTTAGATTCCTTGTTGGGAACTGTTGGGATCTTGTGACGGTAAAGTGTCTCTGTGTTCAGTAAGCTTTGAACAGTTGCTAAACAAATGGTAATTCAAGGATAATCTGTACGAAAACTCTAAGTGCTCTTGTGTGAATTCAAAACACTGTGCCGAGAGTTGATTTGTGCTTTGATCCCCAAGAAGTTCTGGTTGATGGCCCCAAGATCAGGTGTGTGGAGGCTAAAACAAATTATACGATGGATAGGTAAGGGAACTAGGCATGTTTGGCCTAAGGAAGAGAAGGCTCAGGGGAGACATGATAGCTGTCTTGCAGTATTTGAGGGGATGTTACAAAAAAGACGGGGCCGATTTATTCTCCGTAGCATCTAAAAGCAGGACAAGAAGCAACAGGTAGAAATTTGTCAGAAGATCCAACCTGGAAATAGAGGAACTAGCTCGATACCTGTACTCTGCTACAAAACTATGTGGTCGGGCTTAATTTTTGGGAAGGAAAATAAGGGGGGAAAATTCTGCCTCTGCCTACCAGCATCCATCGGTATTCATCTGGCTAGCGTCCTGCCAGTGTGTGAGAGAGTTGAGGGCTGTTTGGAAAGTGAAGCAGTATTTGCTGTGTGAGCAAGAAGAAGACAGCAAGGAGCCTGGGCTTGGCTTAGCTCAGCTGTTCTGGACTAAAGCTGCTTGGTGGCGTGAAACTAAAACTGAAACTCCTCTCCTCTGCTTGTGTTTTGCATTTGGAAGAGATTTCTTTTCAGGTGGGGAGGGGGAGTAGAACTCCTTAGCATCACAGCGTGTTAATAATAATAATATAGGAAATATTAATGCTCTGGTGGTCATTTCGAAAAATCCTTTCTGAGTGAGCACCTAGAAGCCGAGAGGAACAGACGTGCCAAATTTCAAGTTTGTAGGCTTTACGGTTCTGGAGATTTTGTGAAGTTGCGTGAGTGGGATTTCGCTTTTATATAGAGAGAAGATTACCTGACAGTTGGGACAGTTAACAGAACAATTTGCTGCTCTGAGTTGCGGGTACTTCATTGCTGGAGGTTTTCAAGAAGAGACTGGACAACCCTTGGACCAGGATGGTTGTATAAGGTCTCCTACCTTAAGCAAGAGGTCGGACTAGAAGACCTCTGAGGTCCCTTCTTCCAGCCCTAGGAATGGTTTCTATAGATTCTGTGAGATTTCACTTTGGCACAGGTTTCGTGCAATAGGCTTCAACAGGGTTTGTTTAAGCAGGCTTTCTCAGGCAAACAAACCTAGATGGCTTAAAATCAGTGACCAGCTTCACATTGCAAAGAAATGACCCCATGCTTTAACCCCCCCCCCCAAGGGGGGTCTCCAGCCTGGACTTCCACTCCCAGAATTCCTCAGCCAGCCGTTCATTCCACTGGCGGAGGAATTCTGGGAGTTGAAGGCCCCGAGTCTTAAACGTGCTAGGTTTTTTAAGCCTGTTACGGAAGCACCTGCGCGTGGCTTTTACAACAGCCCTGCGAGGCAGGTCCATGAGAACCGGGGGGGTGGGTGGGGGGGAAGTGACTCAGTCAAAGTCAAATGAAAACGGGGATCCAGACACCCCCCTCCAGGCTCCTGGTGGAGGAGGCTTCGTTGCGTCAGCCCCGTGACAAATAACAAATAGGAAATATCCGGGCAGCGCATGGGATGTGATTCACCTCCTGCGGGGCAAATTATGCGCCTTCCAAAAACCGTGCGCGCAGGTTCCTCAAGGCAAGAATGTAAGGAGGCGAAGTTGGGTACATCCTGCAAAGGGGAGGCGCCCCGCCCACCTCCCCGGCACATCTGGGATGGATGGAGAACTTTGCAGCTGGAAATTCACGGGGTTGAGCGAAGTTCAGATCTGGAGCCTCCAGCTTCAGGAGCACGATACCTTATTCCTCACCTTTAATCGGAATTCTGAGCCTCGCCAATCCCAAAGCGATGCCGAAACTCCTCCACAAGCGAAAGGAAATGGCCTTCCAGGTGGTCCTTGCCTTACAACAGTTCTCTTAACGACCATATCAAGTTGCAAAACGGCACTGGAAAAACCGTTCTTCACATTTACCACTGTTGCGGCATCCCCCCTGGTCAAAATTCGGACGCTTGGCCACTGAGTCGTATTTATGACAAGTTGCAGAGTTCACCGATCAGCACGGGGAAAGTCTGATTCGCTTAACAACCGGGTGACTTGACTGAACCCCTGGTGGCGAGAAAGGGCGTAAGGTTGAGACAAAAACTCACCGTGTTGCCTTTGTACCACATCTCAGGTCATCACAGGATGTGTTGAGCTTTTATTTAACCTGTTAGATTAGAGGGCGACTGTGCACTACAACTTAACCTAATGCTGTGTTAACAACGTCTTGCTTTTAAACTCTGGAGGGATGTTTTGTAGCTGGAGAAGCTGGGTAGAAAGTTTAAGACATAAAGAGACTTTAGCAACAGCTTGGAAAAAGCTGGCCTGTTGCAAGGTTTAATTGTGAAAACTGGTATTTGTGTGTTGTGTGTGTTTGTAGGGCAAACTCTTTGGAACACTTGGAAAACAATTGTGCCTGCTGCTTACAGATAGTTTTTCTCTTTCTATTTTGCAATTTTTAAATATTCCTTCGGGTGGGAAAACCACTGGGGGCACGCCTCTCTCAGATATGCTTGGGTGCTGTTTGCACAGATAAAAACTACCTGTTTTGCACTATAGATAGTCCTCGAATTACAACAGTTTGTTTAGTGACAGACCGAAGTTACAACGGCCCTGAAAAAATGGGATGGATTTCATACTTTAACGACCATTGCGGGGGGTCCCCATGGTCATGTGATCAAACCCCGGGATACTTGGCAACTGACTCACAGTTATGACCATTGCAGTGTCCCTCAGGATCAGGGCGATCCCTGTTTTGTGACCTTTTGACTAGCGAAGGCAACGGGGAAGCCCGATTCACTTAATGGCTGTGTTACTAAGTTAACGGCAGCAATTCACCGAACAACCGTGGCAAGCAAGGTCGTAAAAATGGCTCAGCGTTGACTTAACCGGTGTTTCACTTAACGACTGGAATTTGCGGCTCCGTTGTGGTTGTAAGTCGAGGACCACCTGTGCAATCTAAGCAATAAATCCCACGTGATGCTTGCAATGGTCATAATGTGAAAAACAGTCATGCGTCCATTTTTTGTTTAGCGTGCCGTTGTAGCTTTGAATGGTCACTAAATGAATTGTAAGTTTGAGGACTACCCGTAGTTGCGTATTAGTAGTTTTGCTTCGGAGTTTTACAAAATGCAGCCTTTGTAGTTTATCATGTAGATTCTTTAGAGCAAAGATCTCGCCTCCCCCCCCAAAAAAATAACTTTAACATAAATACTTTTGTTTCCACATGGAAACACTTCTGAACTTCGTGTTTGATGTGGAAAAGAATGAAAGTTTGATTTTGGGTTTCACAGATTGACCGGTAGATTTTTGTAGAAATGACTGGTTCATACAGATAGCAGATCATCAAAGTTGGAAGGGACCTTGTAGGTCATCTCGTCCAACCCCACCCCACCCCCCGGCCCAAGCAGGAGATTCCCATCCCTGCCGCTGTGAAATGGATTTGCAAGAAATCACCGTTTTTTTAGGGGCTCCCTAACCTGCTAACCTCTGCAGTATTTCTTTTTGGTTTTGTTTTGTTTTCACCCAGGAATATTTTGGAAAGTCCCAGTTTGGATGGGAGGAAGCTCCTTTCCCCTGACTGCAGCTGTGTGACTTAACTGCATTTACCTGAAAAAATAACGCTGCTTCAGTTCTTTTTTTCCCCCGCAATAGACAGATTTTTTTGTGTGTTTGTGGTTGAGATGCCTAAGGGAATAAATAGCAGGTCAAAGTCTAGCGCTTTGAACCACTTTAATAATGGTATCGACCAGCCTCTCCTTTGGATAAATTCGGGGCCCTTTTATGATGGGGCCCCTCTTTAAAGCAGCCCCCCACTTGAATTTGTAATATTTGGAAATGATGTTGAAGAATCATTTATTTTGCGAAATGATATGGCAATCAATACAGTCACTCCTCAATGTATTCAGGATTTCTCCTGTCACGGTTTAAGGCAGATTAATTCCAGAACCCTGCAATTGACATTTTGGGGGGAGGCATCAAGGTTTTTGGGGTCCTGAGGCTTCTTTGCCCTCCCCCCCAACCTAAACAGGTTAAGTCAAAGTCACCCTCTGTCATCCTAGTTGGTGGCCATCTTGTTTTAGAGACCCCGTGCAGAGCGTTGGATTGGGAGGATTTTTGTAAACTAAGCCTAACGTTTCAGCCAACTTATCTCAAATCTGTGGGGTCCTTGGTGGTCTCTGAGCTTGGTTGTTTCCTTGTAGATGTTTCATGACCCAACTAGGTGACGACATCAGTGCTAGTTGGGAGTTTGGTTTGCGGAGTAGAGGAGGAAGAGGAAAAGAGGGAGAAGGAAAGGAGGAGGTGAACTGTGGGGTCCTTAGCGGTCTCTGAGCTTGCTTGTTTTCCCGCAGACGTTTCATTCCCTAACTAGGCACTAAGATCAGTGCTAGAAGGGTGAGGTTTACAGAGTGGCAGAGGAGAAAGAGAAGGAGAAGAGGAGGTGAACTGTGGGGTCCTTGGTGGTCTCTGGGCTTGCTTGTTTTCTTGCAGACGTTTCATTACCCAACTAGGCACTAAGATCAGTGCTAGAAGGGAGGGGTTTACAGAGTGGAGGAAGAGAAGGCGAAGAGAAGGAGGAAGAGGAAGATGATAACTGTGGGGTCCTTGGTGCTCCCTGGGCTCGGTTGTTTTCCCACAGACATTTCATTACCCAACTAGGCACTAAGATCAGTGCCAGAAGGGAGTGTGGTTTGCAGAGTAGAGGAGGAAGAAGAAAAGAGGTAGAAGGAAGGAGAGGAGGAGGAGGAGGATGACTCTGGGGTCCTTGGTGCTCTCTAAGCTCGGCAGTTTCCTCACAGACATTTCATGACCCAACTAAGTAACAGCATCAGTGCTAGAAGGGAGCTTGCTCTCATTTAGTATACAAGCGTCTTGCAAGAAAACCACCAACCTCAGGGAGCCCCAAGGACGCCTGGCCTAGATTCTCTTCAGTCGCTATCCCGAATCCGCCACTACTCAGCATTTCCGCTTCCTCCCCCCTTGCAGAATCGCAATCCCTTGGTCGCCGTCTACTACACCAACCGCGCCTTATGTTACCTGAAAATGCAACAGCACGACAAGGCTCTGGCCGACTGCAAGCACGCCCTGGAGTTGGATGGGCAGTCGGTGAAGGCCCACTTCTTCCTGGGACAATGCCAGCTGGAGATGGAGAATTATGACGAGGCCATTGCTAATCTTCAAAGAGGTGAGTGGGGAAGATCCCTGGGTATCCTATGGCTCAAGGTGGGCAACTTTAAAAGGTGTGGACTTCAACTCCCAGAATTCCCTAGCCAGCCAGCCAGCCCACAGCTGGCTGGGGAATTATGGGAGTTGAAGTCCATACCTCTTTGAACCTGGCAAAGTTGAGAAACCCTCCTCTTAAACTGTATATTCATAAACTCAGCTGGGAGGCCTTTTTTCCCCCCATTTTATAATCCCGGTCTTTGAACCATGAGGGTCTCTCTTCTGCTTTTTAGCATCAGAAGCAAATGTGTTTGCAACATTAAAAAAAAAAAAGATGGCTACCAAGGAACAGATATACTATGGTCATAAATAGAAGGAAAAGGTCCTATGAATAGTGTCTGAATGAAGTAGGAGGTGGAAGAAGAGAATATTTGCTGCTCACGGTTGAGCTGCGAAGTCCTTGGTGCTCTCTGAGCTTGGTGATTTTCTTGCAGACATTTCGTTACCTAACTAGGTAACATCATCAGTGCTAGGAGGGATGTGGTTTTTGGATGAGGAAGAGGAGCAGCAGGAGGACTATGGGATCCTCTGTGGTTTTTTGAGTTTCTTGCAGACATTGCATTACCTAATTAAGTAATATCATCAGTGCTAAAAG